ACATCTTGATTTTTTAAAAACGTTAGCTTTTAGATGGACGTGTTTTTCCCAGATACATCCTCCAACTGTGTCTGGGAAATGAGCAAGTGTTTGACCTAGTTTTTTTTTTTTTAAATGATGCTCCTCTTTTGTGGTTTGCAAATGCTTTATTATCAAAGTTAATACTAATGAAGGATATTTGTGTAGCAGACGTTCTGCCAAGCCCTTTATAGGAGGAAGGAGGAACCGATATGCTATTAAGTTTTAATCTAGGGAACTAATCCAAATCCCAGCCCCTCTGTTTCCCCTCAGTGACATGAATTCTTGGAAGATACAGGCAGCTGTGGGTCTGCCGGGGCTGCGTTCGAGGCTCTGCAGAATTTCTAAGGACAGGCGCGGTGAGGCGTATGGCTCCTTATGCCCCCAAAATGCCTAGTGTTGATAAATTAAGGCACCTCTCTATAAGTGAACTCAGCATCAACACGCCTGGAGTTAGTAATTTAGTTGGAAAAGACAGGCCTAGTTGTCCTCTGGCTTTTTCTGGTTTCTAAAATTCATATCCATGTAAGACTTGCAAGATGAATATTTATTTTGTGCTCTATTTTTCAAGAAGGAAAAGAAGGGAAAAAGAGAAGGGGGAAATAAGACCCTTCGACTCAATAAGAATCGCCTCCGCCCTGAACCTGGGGCTTCCATAAATATTTCCACATTAACAATAAGGTATGAGGGAGATTTTCCCATCAAATGAGAAATTCTTATTAGTTATACCCTTTGGTGTAACATTGAACATTTATTGACTGCTTTCCAGGTTCCTGGAAGCCTTTTAATTCAGGATCAATGACCTGTTCACCACCTCGTCCAAAAGCATGGGTGATTGGTACATTCACGCTGCTACACTCATCACCCTGAAAAAGCCAGGTGGAATATCAAATCAAGGGACTAAATGTTCTCATCACAAAGTATAAGTATGTCGCAAACATTATTTAGGACTGCTTATACTAAAAATTTATCTGCTATTAACCTGAAATTCAAATTTAACTAGGGTGTTCTGCATTTTATCTGGCGGGCAAAACCAGTGGACAAAGCCATGCAGTCAAGATGTCGTAAAAAGGAAGGAAAAGGTTTTGGGGGAACTTTGAAAGTATCAGGCAATAAATAAGAACATTATATATACTGATTCAAATTGCTATTATATATAACTCCAGTGGTATAAAATTATGTAATTTATTGTTACGTAAGTTAATAAGTCTCTAAACCAGTATAAGTTGAACTTTTGCAACTCAAATGTTTTCCCATGAGTTTAGGTTAAAATTTTAGTAATGTTTCGCCCTCATTTCTGATTAACCTTCAGTTGATTCCTAAGCGATTTTAACTTTCTGTGTCCCCAGGTTCTTAAGTTACTGATCCATTCAGGAATTCTTGAATGGAGCGCAGGGTTGGGAAGGGGGACCCTCATGTGGGTCCTTTTGTAAAACAAAGAGTCTTTGGGGGGAACATGAAGACTTTTTTTGTACTTTGATTAATCACCCCTAATATATCAATTTTAGAAGTTCGGATTCCTGTACAAGCATGTTTTTTTGAAACTGAGCACAACTAAACCTAATTTCCTCTTCAAAGCTTCTTCTTGAAAAAAAATCGCAAACAGTGTCAGCAGCTCCTTTTTCAAAATAAGAAACTCTGGTTTCTTTAAACCAGAGTGATTTCAAGGTTTTTGTGTTTTAAGGAGAAGAGAAAACTTCCTAAGGAAGTCAGCTAGAAAGTGGTTCAGAGGAAATGACAAACTCAGAGTACCCTTCCACGCCAGACCCCTGGGAAGGTGTCCGTCCCACGGAGCACGAGCCGTTTCCCAGGCTCAGAATGAGGTGGATATTGAGAGACAGCACTTGAGTGCTTCAGGAAGCTGGAAAGGAAAGTCAGCTCGCAGCTGGATGTTTACCTCTCAGGTGGAAAATGATGGTGCCACTCAGGGCATCATCGCGGCTTCCTGTTTACTTTGGAGCCTGTTATTTCATAATGGTGTTGTTCTCAACTGAAGCCCAAGTGTCCCCTTGAAAAATTAAGGACTCCTTCTTCTGTGCTTTTTCAAGTGCCCTAATTCATTCAAAAAGTACGGAGGGCCTCCAGGGGGCAGACCTATTTTAAGCACTTGGGATTCATTGGTGAGCAAGCCAAGCAAAGGTCCCTGCTTCCTGGAGTTGACTTTCTATCAGAGGAGACAGACAATGAATAAAAAAACATAAGAAATAAGTCCTCCGATGTGTTGGAAGATTGTATAGTTGGGGGCGGGGAAGCAACGGAGGAGGGTCTGAATTCGGGTTTGGGGACAGATTGCATTTTAAACAGGGAAGTCAGGGTAGGACTTGGTAGTGATGACATTTGGGCAGAGATGTGAAGGGGATGCGGGAATTAGCCTGTGTGTCTGATCTGTGGTTCTCAACTCACGATGATTTTGCCCCCAGGGACATCAAGCAATGTCTAGAGGAGGGTGGGGGGATACCACTGGCACCTCCTGGGCAGAGGCCAGGAATACGGCTCAATATCCTACAACATGGGAAGACAGCCTCCCATAGCAAAGAATGATCCTGCCCAAAATGTCTGTGGGGCTAAAGTTGAGAAACCCTGTATGTGAGGAACAGTAAGGAGGCCAGGGAGGCTAGAGGGGTGGCAGAAAGGAAAAGAGAAGTAGAAGATGAGGTGAGACGTAACAAAGGCTGGAGGAGAAGGGGTGGCCAGGTCAGGTAGGGCCTTAGGCCAGCGTGGACTTTGGTTTTTACTCCAAGAGAAATGGGGAGCCTTTGGAGGGTTTGGAACAGAGAGGGACATGACCTGCACTAACGGTTTTAGGACTATTGCTCTGGCTGCTGAATGGAAAATAGACTGAAGGCTAAGGCTGGCGTGAAGGAGTTCAGGGGCTGCGGTGGGAATCCAGGCAGAGATGTTGGGGCTCAGACCAGGAAGCAGCTTCGTGATTTCCATGCAGCAAAGACATCCACAGCCAAATTTTAGATATCAGACAATGAGGTGTTCTGGGGATTCCACACAGTCTCCACTCTTTTCATTACAATGCATCCTATAATATAATATATATATTCTATATAACCTAGATAGAGCAGTATCGATCAATATAGGTCTCTCAGTTGACCAAATGATCAGTAGACATGGTTAAGTTGCCTTAGCTGGATTTTGTTCACACAATAGGATACCTGATATTTAACAATCAGTGCATGAAAAAACAGTGTGCCATGGGTTAGGCACAGCGTAAGCCTTCTCTACTTTACCATGGTCTTGGCAAAACATGTTCACTCTTGTGTTTGAGGTGTATTTTTCGAAGCCGCGTACAACCCTAAACATGCTCAATTACCTACAATTGGGATGGAGGGAGCATAAAAGGTCTAGGACCTAATAACCAGGGGTTTGAATAGCTTTCTACTTTTAGAAATGTATTTAATTGAGGCGCCTGGGTGGCTCAGTTGGTTGAGCGTCCGACTTCGGCTCAGTTCATGATCTCATGGTTCGTGAGTTCGAGCCCCACGTCGGGCTCTGTGCTGTCAGCTCGGAGCCTGGAGCCTGCTTAGGATTCTGTGTCTCCTTCTCTCTCTCTGCCCCTCCCCTGCTTGTGCTCTGTCTCTCTCTGTCTCTCAAAAATAAATAAATGTAAAAAAAATTTTTTTGAAATAAAAAAAAGAAATGTATTTAATTGTTCAAATAGCTCCTCTTCTCTTACTTGCTCAGCCAAAGCAAATGCTGCAACAGAGCAGAAAACACTAAGGGATTGGGAATTCACACTCTTACCCAGAGGTCTCAGGCATCTGAGAAGCATCGCCTCCCCATTCCTCTGTGTGATCTCCGTAAAGACTACATCTCTTGTCCTGTGTCCTCCGCGGGAATCCCCAGGCTGCAGAGGCTGGGCCCCACCCCGGGGTCAAGCCGCCTCTCCCACAAACAGCATCCCATTGATTGCTGATACATTTAAATGTCTTCTTACAGTATGACTATATATTTTTAATTTTTTAATGTTTATTTTTGAGAGAGAGACAGAGTGTGAGCAGGGGAGGGGCAGAGAGAGAGAGGGAGACACAGAATCCGAAGCAGGCTCCAGGCTCTGAGCTGTCAGCACAGAGTCCAGCGCGGGGCTTGAACTCACCAACCGTGAGATCATGACCTGAGGCAAAGTCGGACGCCTAACCGACTGAGCCACCCAGGCTCCCCTGCTGTATTTTTTTTTTTTAAGTCATGCTGGTCCAAGGAAGCGGTAGTCTCTCGGTCAGTGAAAAGTAGGTTGTTTGCCAGGAAGTTTTTAAGGAAGTTTTAACATACAGTTGGATCCATGGGCTTTTCACTGGTTCTATCAAGATGGGTCTGGTCCCACTCAGCCGCCCAGAGGTGTCGAGTCGGGGAGGGGCTCTGGGGAAGAGTGCTCCGTATTGCAGATGCGAGTGGCAGTGGTGGAGGATCCTTCCCGATCCTCGCCCTCTAAGACAGGGCTTCTCCAAGTACGGTCTGCGGGTCACCTACATCAGAATTCACTAAAAATGGAGATTCTTTGGCCCCCTCCCCGCACCTTCCACCAAGGGCAGGGCCGGGAATCTGCATTTCAGTGAGCATCCCGCACCTTCTCATCCACACGCACATCTGAGAGCCACTCCTCTAGCTTCCATTAGCAGCCGTGAAAAATGGCCTTCAAGGATCAGCCTGCTCACAGCAACCTCAATACAGACTCGTTCAGCACGGCAGCTGTTATGCAAATGAAAGGTGCGCTTCTAAGGATTTGCTTTCTGCAAGGAAATGTGTCACCCACCACGCTAGTCTCCCCTTTTAACTGGATACGCTTCCTTCTGTGGAGACGTGGGTGCGTTCTAGCATCTGTTGTCGGGGGAAGACAGTGGTTACGGAGCCTGACTGGCTGGTGGCTCCGCTGTGGGTCCCATCCTGGCTGACTGTCGGAGGCACTTTGATGTAGCAGACTGCTTGAAAGGATCCCTGTCATCTCACGTGACCTTTTCTGTTTCCTTGTTGAACAGCAAATATGCCAGAGGATTATCCTGATCAGTTTGACGACGTCATGGATTTTATTCAAGCTACCATCAGAAGACTGAAAAGGTCACCCGAGAAACAAATGGCCTTGCCGCCTAGAAGAGAGCGGAATCGGCAGGCGGCGGCCGCCAACCCGGAGAATTCCAGAGGGAAAGGTCGGCGAGGCCAGAGGGGCAGAAATCGGGGTTGTGTCTTAACTGCGATACATTTAAACGTCACCGACCTGGGTTTGGGCTACGAAACCAAGGAGGAACTGATTTTTAGGTACTGCAGCGGCTCCTGTGATGCAGCTGAGACAATGTACGACAAAATATTAAAAAACTTATCCAAAAACAGAAGGCTGGTGAGTGACAAAGTCGGGCAGGCATGTTGCAGACCCATCGCCTATGACGACGACCTGTCGTTTTTAGATGACAACCTGGTTTACCATATTCTAAGAAAGCATTCCGCTAAAAGGTGTGGATGTATCTGACTCGGGCTCCAGAGACCGCTGTGTATTGCATTCCTGCTACAGTGCAAAGAAAGGGACCAAGGTTCCCAGGAAATGTTTGCCCAGAACGGAAGATGAGGACCAAGGAGGCAGAGGAGGAGGAGGAGGAGGAGGAGGATACAGGAGGAGGAGGAGGAGGAGGAGGAAGGCAGCCATTGGGGGAGCCTGGTAGAGGGAGATCCAGCTACAGAGAACTGGAAGGGAGAGAAAACAGCCATCCAGATTCTCCTGACCGGCAGCCGACGTCACCAGAAGCTCAGGGCTGGTGTCCCTGGTTGGGCGTTTCCTTTCATCTGATAGAGCCCACCGTCACCGGTCATGGGCACAGTTGCGGATGCACTTGAAGCCAAACCAGTGTGTCTCCTGTGGTTTATTTTCACATGTCTGGAGACACCCGGGGAAATGGTAATCCTGGTGTCATTCCTTGTTGTGACGTTTTACTGCTGAAAGCAAGAGAGGTTTCTTTTTCTGTCACTCAGCGGAGACATACCCCAGGAAAGGAGGAAGGCGAAACAACAACAGCAACGACACAAGAGATAGTTGCCTTTGAATTTGAAAGTTGAGGCCTGAGGTTTACTACAGCCAGCGTTTTTGTGAACGGTCGGTGATTGATTTTGAACATGGTGTGTGGGGTGGAAAGAAGTTGGCTAGGAACCAAAAAGGCTGTCCTCGTGACTAAAAACAAACCTGAAGGTATTTCCTTTATGTCCTTGGAAACAGGAAGCCAGTTGTGGTTTTCGGCAGCATTCTTGCAGGAGAGCAGAGTGGGGACGGCCCCCAGCTGCACCGGGGCAGGGACACCCACTGGGCCTGTCGGTTTACAGAGAGACAGATGTTACATACACCCCAGCTCCGTTTATGCGTGGTCACCAGTGACCAGAGAAGCTACTCGATGCAATGCATCTGTTTCAGATACAGAAATATAGAGAAGATATTTATTGAGATTTAAGTTATTGTTATTTATTACCGTTCACTAATGAGTTTCTCTTTTTCTCCCCCCTTATTTATTAAAGTTTCTTTTCGAAGGTGCCAAAGTATATGTGCTCGCAAAATGCAAAGAAAGGTGACAAAGGAAATTTTAAATTGGGAACAAGGGTCCATGCTTTCCAAAGTATTAAAAAGTTTTTCGCTAGGCAAAAATCACTTACTTTACCTTTTTAAGAAAAGCCCTCGTTAATCTCCCCGATGTCAGCATCTTCCCTGTTTTTATTTTTGAAAAAAAGGCATGTGTCAGAAGGAGCGCTTCTGACAGGCCCCCTTTCCGGGAGCAGCATGCACAGACCGTCAGCACTGGCTTTATTTCCTCACTGCTCCGTCACTGAGTAGATATGCCACATGTTCCCCTTTCTGTTGTATGTAAGCTCTCACTCCCTTCCACATATATCTATCTGTGATATGCATAACCATATATATGAAAGGTTAAATTCCTTTTAGTAGGTAGTCCTGGATTCAGTGTTGACCTAAAAGTAAAACAAAAATCCTGTCGCGTAACCAGGGTCCCGCCCTGACTCGTGGGGACCCTTCCTCCATCCTTCCGTCCACCCACCGTCTTCTAGAGAAACGTGCTCACACCCAGTGCGTGCCGGACTTCCAGAAATGGGATCGACCTGGTTGCCCCAAAAGTCCCCTGGCTGTGACCTTGTGGGGCAACAGTTGCTGTCCCTGTCAGAAGAAGGTGGCTCAGAAGGCAGGACGAGGAACACGTGTCTGGCCCAGCCACATACGCACACCGAGTCTCGTGCCCACAAAATGTACTACCTGTGTGCTGAAAGCCTTCGGAGAGGCGGGGGCTGGATGGGAACCAGCACCTTGCACGAGTCCCGGAGGTGGGTTTGTCTGGCAGCTGACCCATGCACAATGCACTGGGCCCTATATTCGAGTTTGTTGCACGTTTCACAAAAGGGATTTTTATCAAGGAAATCATCTATCACTACCTGCATGGCTATTAGCCCCAAAGTAGGACAGAGTTAGCAATCAAATGACCTACTGACCTCCCTCAAATAATCACGTTAATTTAAAAAGTACCAAGAGACGGCATTTACCAGATACCCCTTCTCCCAAGCCCCCGAAAACCCAGGTTCTCCCTCATTCTGTCCCTCTCTGTCCTTTCTGCTCCCCTTGCACGACTTGGAAATAAAGGGAAAGGACCTCCTAGGGCCAGAGTGGAGACTTTGCTGAAAAGCAGCCTGCTCAAAAATCGTGACAGACCCGGCCATCTGGCCATTCATGAAGCACGATTTGACGCAGCCCCAGGATCATCTGTCTGATTCAGAGAATCCTGGCAGATTGGGTGGCTGGTGTCCCCAGATGTCAGGCTCAGTTATCCGCACCCCCGGCAACCCTGATTCCCACGGAGAGCCCCTGCCCACAGGCGCCCTAGGATATGGTGGATGTTGACAACTCTTTCCCAGCATCACCTACACACCACAAGCAAGTTTTAACTGAAGCAAATCACTCCAAATCCACAAAAGGGTAAAGTTTGTGATTTTTCTATATCGTTGCAATTACCATCTGATCCAGTAAGGAGTGCACTTCTTTGGAAGTTCCAACTTCTCTGATCTGTCCCAATCGTTTGTGTTATACAACCAAAGTTCTCTACAGACTTTATTTTTGTACAATATCATTTTGTAACTTTTTACGAATAAAAACTCATTTCTATCGCTCCCTGTCCTGTACTCGCTCGTGCCTGGGGACCACAGCTAAGTCCCGCAGTCCTACCAGCCAAGCCCTGGGCTAGAGGGCTGTCCCCTTCACCACCACACAGCCCACTGGTTGGTCAGTGGCCTTGCCCATCAGCTCTCCATAACCAGTCACCACCCAAGTGAGAAAAAACTTGCCAAGTTGTTCTTCGCTTATTCAACCAATATTTATGCTTTGCCTCCACTCTGCCAGGCACTATTCAAGACACCGGCCATCCCAAAGCGGCCAAAACCGAAAATTTTTGCCCTTGTGTAGTTGATATTTTACCCTAGTGGAGACTGACAGTATTCAAAACAGTAAAAGTAGGTGGTGATCCAGTCAATGATAAATGCTATAGAGAATACAAACAGGCTATTATAATAGAAAAAGAAATGGGACCTGCTTTAATTAGAGGTGACATTGAGGCAGGACTTAAGAAACAGGCAGTGCCTGCAAATAAGGAACGTCTTGGCAAAATCCTGAACGAGGCAAACAGGAGGGAGCCACCACATTGCACAACTTTGGGTGACACCATCCGCCTCTGATCTGTATGACAGTGTAGCAGACAATGATGCTGTAGTAACTCCCTGGAGTTGGTGCAAATGGTGGCCCTTAGCTTTGTGTATTCTGGTGGCAAGAAAAACGCACCAAAGAGAGGAAATGCCACTGCTCTGGGTTGGGGATGAGAGCATGCTTCCTCCTCAGATGACACACACCCCATGTTATGTCATAGGTGGCCTTGTGACTGTTGAAAGGTAGCCTTGTGTGGTGTTTTAAACCCCAAACAAAACTGACACTCTTAACACTCATGCTAAGTGTCTGCCAGCTTAGGTTTTCCAACAGACAGCATTCCGAGCAGTGCCAGGCTTTGCCCGAAATGCCCTTTCCTTCCTGACACTCACCGATCCCCTGCGCTGAGATTCCACGGTGTCTCCGGGCCCCACTGTGGGCTCCAGTGTTTAGAGTCCTTTTGCCAGGGCAGTGCTGAGGCCAGCTTCGCTTTCTGTGAGCCACATTCTGGTACGAAGTTAGTGACTTGCAAAGGGAATGCAAAGATTGTAAATTCTTGCTTGCTTCTGCTCCCTTTTCAGAGTCATTTCTCCAAAGTGTGCTCCCAGGATGGCTAATTGGATGAGATGCTCTTCAAAAAAAAAGGAGGATGGGGCGGTTCTCTGATCAAATAAGTTTGGAAAACACTGAGATACTAACATCAAACAGTTTGTAAAGTTAAAAGGAGAAGTGTAAAACTTATCAGAGCCTTGATTACACCAACAAACACTGTGACAGTCCAGGAGGGGCATGGTGTGTGGAACTTTCCAGGTGGGTGCGGCCATGGAACTGACTGCTCCCTTGTTTGCTTTCTCATCGCACCTGCTGACCATCCCTTGAAACTACCTTGGGCTGTGTTGCCTACTCCTATCAGCATCAGGACGAGCAGAGAGGGGGCTAGAGATCAGTAGAGAGACAAACTGCTGGGAAGCTCCCACAGGAAAGACACCTACACACACACACACACACACACACACACACACACACACACGGGTACTGTGGCTTCTTGCTCAACATGATTAACCAGTGGTCAGCCTTGGAAATTTCCTTTCCAAAGGGAGAATGTGAAATGAGTTTCTCTCACGTCAGAGAGAATGTGTTGAAAGCTGGGAAATTCCTAGCCATAAAAAAGAGAACTTTCACCGTGCTTACTGAAAATCCTCACCGGGCTCGAGTTGTTTTGAACCACAAGTGCTTTGGCTGCTCTGTGGTCTGGAGGGATTGCTTCCCCCTTGCAGTGGTCTTCAGAGGACATACTGCTTTTGTGGGGCTCCAGGTTCTGAATTCTTGGCGGCCAGGAACCGTGTGGGCGCACTGGATTAGGAGTCCCGTCACCAGGCTCCAAGAGTCTCGTGTTGCTTGTGCTCGTGAGATCAGCCCACACTGATTTTCTCCTGTGTGGCCAGAGCTGAGTGAAGCAAAGGTTTAAGAGAACTTTTTGAAGAGTCAATCCACTCTCAAGGTAAAGGTGGAAAAATCAGAATTTCCTGAACCTATTTAGGTCTCAAAAACAGAAAGCACCACCCCCCCCCACCCTTCACATGGGAAGTCCTACTTGGGTGGAGGCTGATTTGCTATCTGACCCCAGAATCACAGGGAGGAGGGAGCCCAAGACATCACACTGTCCACCTCAGAGCACAATGGCAGGGGGGAAGGGTTTCAGCCACAGGCTCTGGGGCTTTTTTCCATCAGGTAATGAAATGTCTGAACCCGGAGTGTCTTCTTGGGACACATCTTTCTTAACAGAACTGTTA